GCACTTTACTATAACTGATTAGGACGGCAGGGGACAGGTCTTCTGTATAGTGTTCGCCGAGTTGGCCACCAGCTGCTACAAGGATATCCCACCTCAAAATGACCTTGCTTGTTCAAGGGGCGATGAAACCAACAAAACAAAGAAAAACACCAACAGGTGCTTCCTCTTTAATGCACGAGTGTGTCCATTGTTCCTCTTTGGAAATGTGTTTCCCTGTTTCAGTATCCCTAACGAACACCTAAAGCGACTTTCTTTCATTCATCTTCCATTCTCGCACACCCTGTCATGTGAGTATTAAATATGTCTTGTGATAACGCTGTGTCCTTTACTGTTTAAACTTTAAATGCTTTTCGGATCAATGTTTCTAAGATGTTGTTGAAACAATGAGTGGATTACGAGGATAATTTGTTTCCATCTTTGACGAGATAATGAGGGCATTTACCGGGACAATCATTTTCTCCCTTGATGGGACAACGGGAACATTTTCATGGATAATTTTTCATTGTGCTTTGTATAAATTTACACTTTGCTACATAAAGAAAGAATGGAACTTTGTGCGCCGTGAGAGATTTTTCTGATAGGCAAACATCAGAGCAATATTTCAACCTTATCCCTCTGCTAGATCATTATCAATTCTTTTGTTTGCCGTTATTCGGAATAGTCTTTTTTTAAACTAGCTATTTACCAGAAATTGTCGTCAGTTATCTGGTGTTATAAACCAAACAGTAGGGTTCTGTCTGTAGACGTGAGATAAACCCGGCCATTAACATCACCACTGAATTGCTCCTAGCGTGAATAAGTGTATCCGGTCTTGCTATTGTTTCACAGCGTGTAGGATCTGTCACAACCGTCTTTTTAGCATCATGGTAACATATATTCGTTTTCCAATAATGTGTGTTTAAGGAGAAATATACAAGAAAAAATGTTCACCAACAGTTTCTTCCATAACAGGGGGTTGGAAAAATATTTTAACCACTAGCCACAGACTTGTGGGATGAAAAATTTACTCGTCCGGATTGGAAATTTACTCGTCCAATTTCAGCCATGAAATTGCGACTAAATCAGCGAGGATGTGACATGTGACTTTTTTCTATTTTTATTTGAAGTTTTAGTGAAAAAAAACTATGCAGTGATGGCTACTTTGCGTCAGACATTGTGCTCGACTTAGGCCTGGTCGTAGTGTTTGTTTACATCCGACTGACTAGGTGCTGTTAAGAACGAGAGCACCTGACATCAGTATGACCGCGGGAAAATGACTAATGTATTCCGAATGCCATATTTGACGTCATGGAAGTTCCGGTGTTATCGAAAGTAAGAGAGCAGAGTGGAATATTTTGTTTTCGAAGTACCGTAAACACGTTTATTTGTTTTAAATTTTCTTTACATTTTTATTGAAATTTAAGTCGTAACATGAATATCATTGGAAAAAAGTAGTCGTCCGACTGACGACTGACAAAGATAAATCTGGTTGTCCGAGACAATTTTCACTGGTCCATGACGACCGGACGAGTGCTTTTCCGGGCCCCTGCATAACTGTAAAGGTATAAGATCGGTTCAGCAGCAGCTGCCATATTGACACTCAATCACAAAAATCGCAAATAGGAACTCTTTAGAAACGGAGGTTAATATGAACATGTCTCTGGTAAAGCGAAACAAGTTTAACTGAGTTGTTCCTTAAAAGCCACAATACACCTCTGTAAACGACTCACTGACTATCAATAGCTGACCTCGCGGATGCCGTTATAGTTGTTCACGACAACAAATTCTGACTCTGACCGCGAGGTCAGCACCCAGAATTTGGCGTGAAAAACTATGGAGGCATCCCTGACAACATCATAATAAAAGCGACTGAAAAAATGTAAACATGACGGTTGGTGACTGTTTACTCAAATTTAATCCTCCGCGATATAATCCATAACGTGTACCATATAAATTAATGTAGTCATTTTCATGATGAACAACCATCTATTTTCAAAACAGCAATACAAATAACAAAACAGAAAAATGAAAAAAATGTTCGTTGGACACAAATACGTTTATCAGGAAACATCAAGAAAACACCAACAGAATCAAAATTCAAACTCAAATTCCATAAAACTGGGGGAAATATGAATAAAAGAAAAATTTACACGGAGACTCCTGAAAAAGTACAAGGAGAATAGGACCACATGTTCCGGAACAGTAAGCGTCTTCTGCTCCATCGACGACACCCGCCATGTAAACCTTGGCCATTCCAAGTAAGTAATGTTACGTTCTCAAATAAGAACAAGGTATACAACAACGAAAACAACACACAAACTAAAGAGCACCAAATACGTCCAGCTTCATGTCACACAAAGAAATAGAATATTTCTCAACGAGATCACTATGGCAACCATAAAACTTCGCCATAATTCACGCTTGAATCATTAAATGACGTGAGCCGTTTACAGAAGTGTTATTGGGGTACTGCAATGCACTCTGCATATGAGACTATTGAGGACATACCGCGTTGTGCATGCGCGCATTTCTCGTTCCAGCCGAACTATTTTTTTACTATAGATTATAGAATGGAATTACTGGAAAAATATTAATATGTTGTTTTGTAGAAAAAATTTAGATGTAAATTAGTTTTGTCACTTTTTGGTTGAAACTTACACATGAATCTCCTTCATAGTCGTATAAAATTTTAAATAAAACTATTATTTGGACAACATCAATGTGAAATAAAAGCATTATTATGAAAACATTTCCAAATGTATGCCCCTGACTATCAAGTATAGTAACTTATAAACACATTGATATAACTTTGACAGATTTGGATTTAAAATTAGTTGTGTCATTGTTTAGGTGAAAATGGCACATAATTTCAGTTCCCGTCGTTGTACAGGAAAACAGCGAAAACATGGCATCAATGTACGTGTATCGATGAGTCATTAAGACTGACCACTGTTTATATATAATAAATAGTTATAATGTTTTCTGATATTTTCGGAATAAAGGATTTCACATGTGATTAAGGAAATTAATTATTAGCGGCAAAGCTACCAAAACAGTAAGTGAATATCAACAATCACTGGAGATTAATTTAATGTCTCTTTTATTTTTGTATTCGTTAATTTATCTATAAGCTTATCACTTCATACATTCCGTTCGTATGTATATAATGCAGTTTCAAATGCATAAGTACAGTTTACGACTGACATTTATAACCATTGGTGTGATTTATTACGGTTTTATCATCAAATCTGCAGTAAGAAGGACGCTGATGTACTTGAAAGTCCATACAAATTCCGGTTGTAAATTGTCAACCCTGTGCAAGTATAAATAACGCGTAGTTCTGACTTTTCACATTTATAAAGTGTAGCGAATACGACTGCAGTTAAATGATAGGATGACCGCAAATTCGCTCTATCAGACCAAATAAGTTAAACTACCATAAAATAACTGGTCAATATACAGAATTACTATATATCACAACAGTTGGAGTACAGTGTACATCCTTTCCGGTCCCTATCGACTGCCAAGCTTATAGTTTCCCCATCTACTGACAGAAAGAAACGAGGGGCAGTAACTAGAGGAGACAGAAAGAGTGTACGTACATGTTGGTCGCTTTCTTATTATTAAATGTTGCTAATCAAGTTCGAAAATGGAAATAATACTTTGTACAACATTGCGGAACAAGCTTCAAGCTTAAATTGATAACTCTTGTTGGCCCAGGTGGAAGCGCATGGAAGGTCTTACTGTGGGAGGAGAATCGGAATATCCGGTGAAAACCCACGTGGTCGGGCAGGTGACCTCTTAACTTTTCACGTCCGTTCAGGGAATCGAACTCAGGACCGCTAGGTGATAGGCGAGCGTCTTCCCACTGTGTTACCCGACCACCTGATATTGATAAATCTGAGTATGAACACGCACTGTTTTAAATACAATATGTTCGTACTTTGTGTAATGATAATAATTATTATAATAATAGTACAATTTCGACCACTACAAAGGAACCCAACAATCATCTTGCAGCTGGGTGACAACAAGGTCGTTTGAGACGAGTATCTTCTGGTCGTAGTGGTGATGGAACTCATCCTCGACACTCCAGGGCTCACGACCACTTTTGCTCTCTGCAACCCTTCAACATTTCCTGACGAAATTGCCGGCGAAGTATTCTGTTTGGCCTAGAGTATATTTCAGAAGAAAAACAATGAAAAATCACTGACTAATTTAATTATCGATGATTCAGAAAAAAAACCCACAAAAATACATTCAAATCTGAAAAATAAAGAATTTTAATAAAACAATCTTTTATAAAGATGTTTCGAACACTTGATTTTCGCGACTAGGATTAATGGTTTCCTCGAGCGAACCATTGACGAATGTGAAAAAAAAATGTCAAACTTTCCTGGTATTGTTGAGCAGTTACATGTATGCATACTCTCCACAAATTACTAATGTTATACATACATACGTACACGCACGCGCACGCACACACACATACACAATGTTCTATAATATTTTTATTGCTTTTCTCTTGACAAATCGCGCTGTGTGAAACGAAATATGTTTCAAGAATCCTTATCTACATTCCCTTTTATCTGTCAATTCAGGGCTCGGTGAATGGCAACACCAAAACTTCTAATTTAAAAGTTAGCAAAATCCCTTTTTTCCATGAGTATCGAAAGTCACGTGTCAGGTGTCTGAAGTTCATTGACTACGCCAATATTGCACGGTTATCTATTGCAGAACCAATCTCTACTCAGTTGTCGCCCCGTTAATAAATACAAGGAAAGACAACTCCGGGTGGCAACTGGGGCCACATGAAGGAGGTAATCCTCGGTCCTCAATGTATATGTATGGAGTGGATCCCTGTACGGCCCATCACATATACAAGTCACATTATGTGGTATATGAATATATCCGCGGCCCTTGTCTGGAGCGATCACCAGCCCTAATCAGACAGAAACCGACCCTTGTCGGGAGCGATCACCAGCCCCAGTCAAACAGAAAGCGGCCCTTGTCGGGAGCGATCACCAGCCCCAGTCAAACAGAAACCGGTCCCAATGTCGCATCAATACTCCAGAAAGCTGAAAATCGCAAATTTCAAACAATTAAAAATAAATTCTTTTCTCGGTATAATTAATTTATCCATAAAATAAAAGTATGTATATGATTACAGGGGATGAGGAACGTGTATAACTATTTCAATAATGAGACAGACAGACAGACAGACAGACAGACAGACAGACAGATACATACACACGGAGACAGACAGACACACACACACACACACACACACACACACACACACACACACACACACACACATACAGACAGAGGAGGGAGGGGTTGTTCGTAAATGTGAAAGTTTGGAGAGGAAAATGTAAGATGAATTACTCTGAAAATCAGTACTGTTCGTTTTTGTTTTTTTCTATGCTTGGCTTCCGTCGATTATCAGAAAAGTTTTTTTTCTAAATTTATATAGCTTCTCAACTTAAGTTCAAGGCCGACTTAAAACCCATGACATTAAAGTCAAATCTTAATGAGTCAGTCTCTACTTTAAGTGTACCTCATCCTGTCCTTCCTAAATGTGAGCATAAGGCATGACATGTTCTAATACTTACCGACCACTTGTTGCACGAGTCCGTCCTTATCCAAGTGTTCGGATCAACAATCGTCTGGGCTTCCCTTGGCGTATGGAGGGCGTCACACAAATGTTCAAACGGATACCACATGTGTTCCCCACCGAATACCTTATAGTCCAACCTCCAGGAAAAATATTCGTTATACAAAGTATCGTTTTTATCTAAAAGCTTCAGGTAGTCACCAAGTTCTTTTGCACTCCCAAAGTCATGAATATTTATATAAGATTTTGGTGGAGCTTGTATAACCTGGTCCTCCTTCCAGTTAACAATTGGTATAGAATCACTTAATAAACTATTCCAATATTTTTCTGTCACATAATCTTTACAATTTGCATTTTCAAATGCTATACGGAATTTATAAGCTTTGGAATAACAAGGAGCGTCGGCTTTCCTAGGACACGTTAAATTACCGCATTTTCCAAAGAAATCAACGTCCACAAACTTTTGCAAGTCTCGCATATGACGATATCTTTGCGCGTCATCCGGGCAATCACTAATTACCGCGACAACCATTTTGGTTTTATTAAAACTGAAGTCCTTGTTACGATACATTAAGGAAGCTTGAACCTTTTCCTCTTGTGTTAAAGGAACGAACGCCCCGTATGGTCCGTGAATTGTAGAATCCTTCCGATAAGTCATCGTCCAGTTGAACAAATTTTTCCATGTTAATCCAGTGTAGTGAAGATGAGGGGGTGCTTCGGCGTTATACAGTATCCAAACCTGATCCGGTCTTCTATATCCGGGCACTGTTTCCCAGACCCAAAGATCGAGATAATGGAACATAATGGCATCAACAGTCTCGAGTTCATTTCGATCCGTTGTTACAGAACACTTGTATTTGCTTCTGTTCATATATTTGGCTACATCATCTGCCCATGGACCACTGAAAAACCTCGTCCACATCAGCACTTTTTTGTCAGTTTTATTGACAAAATGTGTTGTATTGAATTTGATAATATTGCCATCACAGTTTTTACAAATATTTCCACTTACAATTGATTCTGTTAACATTGAGCGAGTCCGTAAAATTGCGTACATTCCTATGTACAATAGACAAAGTACTCCAAATCCCGAAACAAAATAGCTTCTGGATATAGGTTTCAACTTGAAAGAAGACAAAGCACCACGGATATTGCTGATCACGGTCATTGTGACCCTTCAATCCTTGTCGCATTGGAACTTGACGTGCACGTATCATTCCTTGCTCATGACGTCATGTCTGAAAGCAGAAAAATGCAAAATTGGATAAAGGAAAACAGCGCACCATTTATGCTTAATTTTCATTGACGTTGTGAGTTTTTTCCACTGAGATCTGCCGTTTAACGGAAGTATATCAGCTTTGTTTTGTTTTAAAAATACGTATACAACGATACAGATCAGAGCGCAGCCCCAGTGGTGGAGGTTAAACTTGGACCTCTTTCATAATGTTTGTTCTCGCATCTTGACCTAAAATCACACTCTCCACTTTCTGTACCTAAGTATGCACATTACACAGGAATTTAATCTGTGATTGAGGTAGCAGTACACAGTTTCTCGGTGTGGCCATGGGTGATTTTTTGTTCATTAGATTACCCCATTATAAAGATTTTTATCAAAATTGGAAAAATAAATCCTTGCTAAAATTGGTCTTGTCATGTTAAAGTGGACAATGTGTTGTCATGGAGATTACTATTTGGGCAGTCTCGAATCTGTGTCTACGCACAAGAAACTAGCTTTACAGGAAGTGAAATTTTCATAATGTGTTGTTGATTGTAAGATAGGTGTTTAGAATTAAATTTCTTTCTTCTGGAAAGTTGTAGTGTTAGGTTGGAATTAGCAGTATTTTGGCATTTTTAGCATTTTTTCAGTATGTAACCATGGCAATCAAATGTCAGAAATCAGAGGAAATTTTTGATTAACACAAATTTCATCTCTCTACTATTAATGTAATTGTTACGTAGTTTATAAATATATTCACCTGTAATGATGTATTTTTCATAACCAATCTGCTGTACTTGTATATCTCAAACATGACCGATACTTTCAGGAAAAATGCAGATTAACTGTTTCCTGCTACCAAAACACCTTGATCTACGTGTACATGTATCATTCCTGACTTTATTATCATTTAGTATACTAACCGACCTACCGATCGATTGATTCATTGATTGATTGATTGATTGATTGATTGATTGATTGATTGATTGATTGATTGATTGACTATACTATAAATATCTATATGTGTAAAGTCAACTCTCTTTTTGATCGGCTATGTCAGCTTTGTATCTCTAACTGCCAAGTATTGCAGATAGAATTCAAAAACCGTACTTCAATTTATTTCAAAGTTCACGACAATGACACGTCAATAGGGAAAAAACCCAAACGTGAAAATATGACAAAATTTCCTCCAGGTAGTCACCGACTTAGACCAAGGTTGTTGGAAAGATCAATGACTAGCATACCACGCGAGACTAGCCCTAATCAGCTAATTGTGACTCATTTCAATGCACTATTCCAATCACCATTATAACTGGGTGTGTTATCCTTTTTCCACTTTTTGAGAGAACATGAATGCAGTAATGTTATGACAGCAATTCTAGTTTGTGTTATTCTCCCACCTGTTTTACCTGTGTTGTCCTCCCACCTGTTTTACCTGTGTTGTTCTCCCACCTGTTTTACCTGTGTTGTTCTCCCACCTTTTTTACCTGTGTTGTTCTCCCACCTTTTTTACCTGTGTTGTTCTCCCACCTGTTTTACCTGTGTTGTTCTCCCACCTGTTTTATCTGTGTTGTTCTCCCACCTGTTTTACCTGTGTTGTTCTTCCATCTGTTTTACCTGTGTTGTTCTCCCGCCTATTTTACCTGTGGTGTTATCATACCTGTTTTACTTGTAAACAATTTACCTGTAATATGTACTATATCAGAACTGTACTGGTAAATAATCTACCTGTATATAGGTACTATATCAGAACAGTACCGGTAAATAATATACCTGTATATATGTACTATATCAGAACAGTACAGGTAAATAATCTACCAGTATGTAGGTACTATATCAGAACAGTACAGGTAAATAATCTACCAGTATGTAGGTACTATATCAGAACATTATAAAATCTACCAGTATGTAAGTACTATATCAGAACAGTACAGGTAAATAATCTACCAGTATGTAGGTACTATATCAGAACAGTACAGGTAAATTATCTACCAGTATGTAGGTACTATATCAGAACATTATAAAATCTGCCAGTATGTAGGTACTATATCAGAACAGTACAGGTAAATTATCTACCAGTATGTAGGTACTATATCAGAACATTATAAAATCTACCAGTATGTAGGTACTATATCAGAACAGTACAGGTAAATAATCTACCGGTATGTAGGTACTATATCAGAACAGCACAGGTAACAATCTACCTGTATGTAGGTACTATATCGGAACAGTACAGGTAAATAATTTACCTGTATGTAGGTACTATATCAGAACAGTACAGGTAAATAATCTACCTGTATATATGTACTATATCGGAACAGTACAGGTAAATAATCTACCAGTATGTAGGTACTATATCAGAACATTATAAAATCTACCAGTATGTAGGTACTATATCAGAACAGTACAGGTAAATAATCTACCGGTATGTAGGTACTATATCAGAACAGTACAGGTAAATAATCTACCTGTATGTAGGTACTATATCAGAACAGTACAGGTAAATAATCTACCGGTATATAGGTACTATATCAGAACAGTACAGGTAAATAATCTACTACTATGTAGGTACTATATCAGAACCGCACAGGTAACAATCTACCTGTATGTAGGTACTATATCAGAACAGTACAGGTAAATAATCTACCAGTATGTAGGTACTATATCAGAACATTATAAAATCGACCAGTATGTAGGTACTATATCAGAACAGTACAGGTAAATAATCTACCTGTATGTAGGTACTATATCAGAACAGTACAGGTAAATAATCTACCTGTATATATGTACTATATCGGAACAGTACAGGTAAATAATCTACCAGTATGTAGGTACTATATCAGAACAGTACAGGTAAATAATCTACCTGTATGTAGGTACTATATCAGAACAGCACAGGTAACAACAATCTACCTGTATGTAGGTACTATATCAGAACAGCACAGGTAACAACAATCTACCTGTATGTAGGTACTATATCAGAACAGTACAGGTAAATAATCTACCTGTATGTAGGTACTGTGTCAGAACAGTACAGGTAAATAATCTACCTGTATATAGGTAGAGTATCAGTACAGTACAGGTAAATAATCTACCTGTATATAGGTACTATATCAGAACAGTACAGGTAAATAATATACCTGTATATATGTACTATATCAGAACAGTACAGGTAAATAATCTACCAGTATGTAGGTACTATATCAGAACAGTACAGGTAAATAATCTACCAGTATGTAGGTACTATATCAGAACATTATAAAATCTACCAGTATGTAGGTACTATATCAGAACAGTACAGGTAAATAATCTACCAGTATGTAGGTACTATATCAGAACAGTACAGGTAAATTATCTACCAGTATGTAGGTACTATATCAGAACATTATAAAATCTGCCAGTATGTAGGTACTATATCAGAACAGTACAGGTAAATTATCTACCAGTAGGTAGGTACTATATCAGAACATTATAAAATCGACCAGTATGTAGGTACTATATCAGAACAGTACAGATAAATAATCTACCGGTATGTAGGTACTATATCAGAACAGCACAGGTAACAATCTACCTGTATATATGTACTATATCGGAACAGTACAGGTAAATAATCTACCAGTATGTAGGTACTATATCAGAACATTATAAAATCTACCAGTATGTAGGTACTATATCAGAACAGTACAGGTAAATAATCTACCTGTATGTAGGTACTATATCAGAACAGTACAGGTAAATAATCTACCTGTATGTAGGTACTATATCGGAACAGTACAGGTAAATAATCTACCGGTATGTAGGTACTATATCAGAACAGTACAGGTAAATAATCTACTACTATGTAGGTACTATATCAGAACAGCACAGGTAACAATCTACCTGTATGTAGGTACTATATCGGAACAGTACAATCTACCTGTATGTAGGTACTATATCAGAACAGTACAGGTAAATAATCTACCAGTATGTAGGTACTATATCAGAACATTATAAAATCGACCAGTATGTAGGTACTATATCAGAACAGTACAGGTAAATAATCTACCTGTATGTAGGTACTATATCAGAACAGTACAGGTAAATAATCTATCTGTATATATGTACTATATCGGAACAGTACAGGTAAATAATCTACCGGTATGTAGGTACTATATCAGAACAGCACAGGTAACAACAATCTACCTGTATGTAGGTACTATATCAGAACAGCACAGGTAACAACAATCTACCTGTATGTAGGTACTATATCAGAACAGTACAGGTAAATGATCTACCGGTATGTAGGTACTGTGTCAGAACAGTACAGGTAAATAATCTACCTGTATATAGGTAGAGTATCAGTACAGTACAGGTAAATAATCTACCTGTATATAGGTAGAGTATCAGTACAGTACAGGTAAATAATCTACCTGTATGTAGGTACTATATCAGAACAGTACAGGTAAATAGTCTACCTGTATATAGGTAGAGTATCAGTACAGTACAGGTAAATAATCTACCTGTATATAGGTACTATATCAGAACAGTACAGGTAAATAATCTACCCGTATATAGGTACTAAACAGAACAGTACAGGTAACAATCTACCAGTATGTAGGTACTATATCAGAACAGTACAGGTAAATAATCTACCAGTATGTAGGTACTATATCAGAACAGTACAGGTAAATAATCTACCTGTATGTAGGTACTATATCAGAACAATACAGGTAAATAATCTACCTGTATATAGGTACTATATCAGAACAGTACAGGTAAATAATCTACCTGTATATAGGTAGTATATCAGAACAGTACAGGTAAATAATTTACCTGTATGTAGGTACTATATCAGAACATTATAAAATCTACCAGTATGTAAGTACTATATCAGAACAGTACAGGTAAATAATCTACCTGTATATAGGTACTATATCAGAACAGTACAGGTAAATAATCTACCTGTATATAGGTACTATATCAGAACAGTACAGGTAAATAATCTACCTGTATATAGGTAGTATATCAGAACAGTACAGGTAAATAATCTACCTGTATGTAGGTACTATATCAAAACAGTACAGGTAAATAATCTACCTGTATGTAGGTACTATATCAGAACAGACTAAATCTTGACCTCTATTGTCTTTTAATTTTTACGTTCTTTCTCTGATCTTAAAAAATGGTAGAAAGGAGATTAAAAGTATAATTGTAGAATTATCCGATATGAACAGGAATGTACTTACATTTTACTTACTGTAATGAATTGAATCTATATTAATATGGATAAGCTCATGGCTGAAGTAATGAAGAATTTAATTGATTGATAAACAATTAACGGTAACTTAGGGCGACAACTCGACGCGTGCTGTGCGAAATGTCAATACTTTCCTAAACAATTTGATCTATTTTTAGAACTAGAGTAGATTGTGGGCTACAATTATATAAATACTAACACTCGTTTGTTTCCAATACACGCCATCTTGTTTTGTTCATTCTTTTAAACGTGGTTCTGAGAAAATTAGGGTGAAATCAAACTATACAAAAAAAATAAATAAAAAAATCCCTGAAATAGTGCATATATGTAAAATGTTCGTCACAATATATATTCCAAGCTATATATTTATGTTTATTTCTAAATTTATTTCTAAATGTTCAAAAACACCAATCTCTCGAACCATAATACTGTAAAATATATTCCATTGATTTATGTAATGATATTGGCATTTATTTCATTTAAATATACGAAGGTTGAAGGTTAAGTGAATAAAATCAGTCGTGGTTTTCCAGATATTTCACCGGATTAATTACATAAATACGACAATTTTTCAGTATAGACTCGTTTGTCTCTTTTAACAATCGTCATGTCGCTGAGCCATTACTCAAAATAGCATATTAAACACTTGTGATCTGTCCGTGCAGATTGATTCTATTCATAACTCGTTTCTTCTCTCTCTACTGATCATACTTATGGAACTATATAATGATCAGGTTTCACGCTTTCACTATAAACTTACCTGGCAATTCTAACCCGGGACCCACGGGGTTACAGGTAGGGGAACTTGTAATATCACCGAAACTGTTATTTTCCTTATATCCATGTGTATGATATTGTCAGCGGGTTACCTGACCATGATTATGTGGTCAAGGTACCTCAATCGATTCCTCACGTTTTAGGTCCGATACGATCGGGTATGTGTACACATCGGGAAGCGCTCCGTTTGTAATTTACTCGTGCAGTGATAAGCCTCATTCGTAGGGACGGCCCCACACTCATTGCTTACAAGTTATCACAAACATCAGGGCGTGCTCTCTATGGCAAAAGGTAAATATAAGACTTTACCTGAATGTAGCCTGCATGGAAAGGTTCACGCGTACTGGCCGTAGGGGTGGATTTATAGGACGCCCTTTATATTTTGACGAACAAAGAATAACGGACTTGGAAATTCTAAAATGCGCCAAAGATTCAATTTGACTGTTTTCGTTTCAATTTCACCGGCTCATATGTTTGATTTATGATCTAGGATTTCAGGTGTCGGTAGTTTAGGGTGAAAGTGTGATTAGGTCAAAAAAACAAATAAATATAAATCCATTCAAAATAGATACTGGAAATATATGTTACATTACAAAGGGGATTTGTACAATTGTTTCCGGGGTTGAACCGCTTTACTTAAGGAAATGAACACACCGTAATCCCAACATTCAGACCATATATAGTTGTTATAGCGTCACCATATAATACATACGTATCATCTATTACAATGGAAACGTGGCTTATGATTATGTACAAGTTCTCGCATGTTGAACCATATGGAATTATGTCATTACTTTTCTATAAAGACTTTGTGATTAATTCGGGTGCCATGTAATCGAAAGTGAGCTGGGTATATGTTTTAGTACGTATTTGTGTAATTTATCTGACTTTGAGAATAGAGACGAACTGCTTTATGATAACTAATCCTTCAACAGAATTTTCAAGTGTAAAAATAACTTTGTATATTATTTTTTTATGATTGTATATCTATTCATGAAAATTCTGACTTAATAGATTGGTCTCATCCAGTAAACACTACAACCAATGTCACCTTCAAGTCTTTCCGACATGAAGGTCTACAATAACAATCCTTTCCCCATTTTTCACTTCCCATCTTCCCTTTCAACGTTCTCTTTCCCACTTTCCTTCCCCACTCCCCTTAACCCTCCCCTTCCCACTCCCCTCCCCCACTCCCCTCCCCACTTCCCTTCCACACTCCCCTTCCCAGTTCCCTTCGCCACTCCCCTTCCCACTTCCCTTCCCAACTTCCCTTCCGACTTCCCTTCCCACTTCCCTTCCCACTTCCCTTCCCCACTCCCCTTCCCACTTCTCTTCCCCACTCCCCTTCCCACCTCCCTTCCCAACTCCCCTTCCCACTTCCCTCTCACTTCCCTTCCCACTCCCCTTCCCACTCCCCTTCCCAGTTCCCTTCCCCACTCCCCTTCCACACTCCCCTTCCCCCTTCCCTTTCCACGTTCTCTTCCTCACTTTCATTCCCCACCCCCTTCCCACTTCCCTTCCCCACTCCCCTTCCCACTTCCCTTCCCACTCCCCTTCCCACTCCCCTTCCCACTTCCCTTTCCACGTTCTCTTCCCCACTCCCCTTCCCCGCTTTCCTTCCCCACGTTCATTTTCACACTTATCAATATATGAACATCATCTTCAATATTCATACTAATAATTCATCCTTTCAGTTTATGTCATAATGAAGAGCCAATAATTAAAGTGTTTGTTATTTTGTATTTTCTAACTCTAGAAAATATCTAGAACACGTTCACCAACATTTTCATGTTTGTATTTCAACGTCAATCTCATTGCTAAGAATAGAAACTGAAGGCTTCGGCATTGTGGATCACATAATATGGTCTTGCATAGAATCTATCTATAGGGGCACTGCTATAAAAGGACAGGGATTTAAACAAGTGTGCCACAAACTAATTGTCAACTTGACTTTCATCATGTATTCTTAAGGCCGATATGTGAACAAGACAAATGTTAAGTACTTCATCTAAGTATTTAATCTATTTAGAAAGTTCATAGAAATGTATTTGGAGATTTAATTACAATTTTTGACATTTTAGAAAAAAAGACTTTCGTTGTTAGCATGTTCCGAAAAAAATGAAACCAAAAAAAAAAAAACAAAAAAATGACAATGCTTTATATTATCTGCACCGGTCGATAAAAATTGTAAATATTTAAACTGGACGAAGATAGTATTGATTCATAATACGGTTTAATCACGTGAACTCCTATGGCTGTAAACGGTCGTAATTTTCTGCCTGTTTGTCAAACGAACCCTAAGTATTATAGAGAAATACACACGAAAAATGGGAGACATTAAAACAGACCTTAGTGTTTGTTATAAGGGTTTAATACCTAAATACTTATTTACCAGGACCATTCAAAAGTAATTAGCGCGTGCCGTTCACCATCAGAATAATTCAATACATTTTTTTTTAATCTTAAACCTTACAGCTTGTCAGTATTGTGTATATACTTGACACACATAGCGTAAAACACACACACACATATCATTCATATCCGATCAAGGAGTAGAGAATTATTCTATTTATCCAAATTATTCCAATATATCTATGTATGTATAAATATTTCCCAAACAGTGTTTATTCTATTTCATTTCTTACTGATACTAATAAATTTACCTAAATTCGACAAATCTTGATTACTTTATGTTTCCAAGAGTTGGATTAATTTTTCCATACTAGGTTTCAAATACTAATACTTTTTGATAAAACGTTTTGTTTTATATCTTAATAATGCTTGCATTTTAAAATAGAATGATATTCATCCTCAATATCACAACTAGTACAATATGTGCAATTTTTATGAATTCTTTCAACATAGATAAATCTACCGGTTTCAGTATACAATTTATGAGACGACAGTCTAATTTTGGCAATTTGTTTGAGATTTTGTAAACAAATAGGAATTGTTGAATATTGCTTAACACAAAACTTACCACTAATATATTTACAAAGTGAACGTTTAGATTATATAAATATTAACTTTTAGTAGGTTTGTGAGCAAGCGACTCGTTGTTGTTCTGGCGAACCGCTTTACACTACAATATTGTACAAAAATGGTGTACCGTATTGTATCAAAATGTATGTGTTTTATTTAAAAGAAGACAGCTATGGTAACGTTCGTGTAACTTGTGTTAAAGGAAATATTGAGGAAAGTGTACTCTCAGTATATAATATTCAAAATACGTTTGATTAACACATAACGTTTATACATTTAAATTTGGCGTTACAATTCGATTTGAAAGAAACCATCGTCAAAATCTTTCCCTCTTCGATCGTCATACTCCTCTTTTACTATTCATTCTTTTTCAATAAAATAATAAAAAAAACCACCTTAAATACGAAGATTTCTTCTCGTATTCACAGATCAATAAGTTTTAACATACATCCAAATGACTCATATTTATAAAATCACGAGAACGGAACAGTGAAGTTTAAAATGTTGGCCCCTAGGATGACGCAGTTTAATTCTGTGCTTGGCTATACTATATTTTCTCTGAATTAGTATCCCAAGGTATTTTTCACTTGTGTGTCTTTAGTACAATATTTGAGTGTCAAGCATTATCTTTTATTCTCTTTTATTCACAGATTCTGAGAAATACCACACAATAGGCATCTTGATAATTAAAAAGAATTCCCAGTCAGGTTTTCTTTGCTATACGTATTTTTTGTACTTTTTGTCGCCTTTAATACCGGAAGGCAACAACACGAACACACAGAAACAAGCAAAAACCCCAAACCGCTGAAGCGAGAAGATGCAAAGACCGAAAAACGGGATAAAAAAGAAGCCATTTTAAACTCGGCTGGGCGTCTTTTCTTATCTTGGCAAGTCTTTAGTGGATTTATGTTCGTCTTTTCGCTTTCGCTGGTTTTGGCATTTTTCATTATTTCGCTTTTTTTTTTGCCTGGCGTCTTTTCGAGGGCAAAAAGTGGAAATACAAAATATATGTTATAAGCATATCATTCGTCTATTAACCAGTAATAGTATGGCAATTAAAACAACCTCGCAGATTAAACCCTCGGCTGGTTCCGTCAGTCCCTCGTGGAATTCTGAGATGGTTATTATTGAAGTATAAGGAATATATGTTTTTCTTTACATGGACCTGAGAACTTGTCGGGGTTAATTAATACAGCAGAAAGGTTTTCAAAGAGAATTTGAACGTGGATTCCACACAATGTCTTAAATGTTATGAACATCTCGGGATAAGTCTAAATGCACTTGTTTTCATATTCCCGTGGCTATGTTACAGACAGATCAACACAGATAATTTTATATTTCTAGTTTCTAGTTCTCTCAGATCAGATACGTTACTCTCACCTCGAGGATTAGATATTGTGTCGGGGAACAAAAGAAACAAATTTCCGTTATTAATTTGATATATATATATAAGTTATTCAACACCCAAGGCATCAATAGATCAAATAAAGCACAGGTGGATTAAACTCTAAACGGATTGTGATTGGCTGGCACAAGCAACATTGATCAGGTCTACAATTTAAAACCACACAGTCCAATGTCACGTGCAGATTACTTATATCATCATGCCGAACGCTTAACTGACAACTGACAAGGCTTAAACATTTATTTCTGTTTAGAGGACTGAATTATGTTGGCACATTTAACAATAACGCTGACAACACTACTGTCAACACTGACAACACTACTGTCAACAATGACAACACTACTGTCAACACTGACAACACTGACAACATTGACAACAACACTGACAACATTGACAACAACACTGACAAGATTGACAACACTGACAACACTGACAACAACACTGACAACAACAACACTGACACTGTCAACACTGACAACAACACTGAAAACATTGACAACAACACTGACAACAACAACACTGACACTTTCAACACTGACAACAACACTGACAACAACAACACTGACACTGTCAACACTGACAACACTACTGTCAACACTGACAACAACACTGACAACATTGACAATAACACTGACAACAACACTGACACTTTCAACACTGACAACAACACTGACAACAACAACACTGACAACAACAACACTGACAACAACAACGCTGACACTTTCAACATTGACAACAACACTGACAACAACACTGGCAACACTGACAACAACACTGACAACACTGACAACAACACTGACAACAACACTGACAACAACACTGACAGCAACACTTACAACACTGACAACAACAACACTGACACTTTCAACACTGACAACAACACTGACAACAACACTTACAACACTGACAACAACAACACTGGCACTTTCATTACTGACAACAACACTGACAGCAACACTGAAAACACTGACAACAACACTGACAACAATTACACTGACAACACTGACAACACTGCCAACAACAACACTGACACTTTCAACACTTACAACATTGGCAACAACACTGACAGTAACACTGACAACAACACTGACAACACTGACAACAACAACACTGACAACAACACTGACAACACTGACAACACTGATCGGTGGAAGGACATTTCACGAGCTCGCAGAAATGAACAAAAGCTAAATCTGATACGCAATTGTTTTTGAAATAATTTGAATGTTATATTGATTTTCCATCGATTTATTCCTTCCATACAATGTATAATTTATTACCTGTTATATTTTGTGGTATTAATTTCTATTTGTTTCCACATATCTTTGAAAATGTCAGTTTTGCATAACAATTAGCGAGATTTCACTACAGGTCACACCAGTACGCCAAAACCGATATCGTAAACAAGATCCAGTGTCGGAGTAGCTGTGCTTTACTCTGGTGGAAACAGGTCACACAAACTCGTGGTTCTTTTATATGGAATTTCTTGAAACTGGAGGTGTTCGATGTTAGATAGAGATGTCAGTTTGTCTGTTGGTTCCGTTGTTGTATGCCTTGTTCTCATTTGAAAACATAGTATTACTTTCTTGGATCGACCAAGGTTTTACATGGCGGCTGTCGTCAATGAAGAAGACGCTTACTCTTCCGGAACCCCTGATCTTATTTTCCTTTTACTTTTTCAGGAGTCTCCGTGTAAATCTTTACTTTTGTCAATATTTTTACACAATGTTGTTCAATTTGAGTTTGCATTATGATTATAATGACATGTTTTTTTCTGTCCTTTGTTTTCAACCTCCGCTAGTTATTTTTCGAGAAGAATTCCCCTTATAACTAATTAGAGTGGATGTTTAACCCCCATGCAAGTGTCTATCTCCCGATAAGTAATTATTATTGATTGTATTATAACATTGTATGTAAATATGGCCTCTCCTGAAGCGATTTCCCAAAAGCGAACAAAAATATCTTTGGACGGAACAATTGTGACGGAACAATATCACGGAACAATTGTCTCAATGTTCAATGTCATTTCGGACATAGGTATCACTATATCATCAGATTTAGATGTGTCCATTCTGGGTACTGTCCTTACGTAATGTGGACTAGTTGC